AGGAATGCCCTAAATATGTTAAACCAGCGAAACCAGCAATTCTGGGTCAAATTGTACTATGGAGAAAAACCAGACCAGATCCACAGTGGGACTACAGTAAGACACGCTATAGGAAGATTATTTTAATTACTGTGATGTCTAAGGGTCACAATAGTAGACTGATTGCTAGATGCAGGGCAAATATGGAACAAAGAAGTGGTCACTGCCTGAAGGAGATTATGATTTTAATAACATCCCTTAGGCCATGGTGGTCTAAGCTGGAAGGGAGGATGGAAATGCTTCACATTACTGAGCAGTGACCCTGCAGCCTGATGATGGGCAAAGGTTGAACGCTCAGTGGCTGCAGGGGATGGCAAGAGGTGTTTACAGAGTTGGGTTAAGTAGCACAGAGGAGGATCTGTGATGGAAGCAGGAGATTCGAGTTCAATTACACCCCCCCCCCTCCAAAAAAAAGAAGAGAATTAGTGTTTTACGATTAAGATATGAGCTTGATCTGACTAAAAGGAAATAATTTTGCACTGCTGCCAAATCGGAAATTTCCTAACGCGAAAGAGTATTCCCAAAATTAAAGAACAAAACTGAGGAAGACTCTGGATGACTAGCAAGACTACACTGTATTGACTTTTGTAGAAGGAGCTTTTATATGAATTTGGAATATTTAAAGAAGTTTGAAAATCCAATCATTTTGTTTTGGTCACCTTTCTTTGAACACAACTTATACCTGCAATTGCTTTAATATAGGTTTTTACTGTAACCTACTTAAAGGAGGGAACATGGTTTTAAGTAAAAACTGCTTCCTGCATATTTTTCCTGTGTTTTTGGTCACAATTTTATCATGGCTTTTATATAAGGCAACAAGCTACTGTTTCAATCCGCTATTTTTACAGTTTTTTCTGTCTGAATAAGGAAATCTAATTTATTCATGCCAACTTGGCAGTTCAGTTCCTGAAATGTTTGCCAAATACTGTAGCTTTACATATGTAAGTAAGCCTTACTTTTTTTTTCTGGAAAAAGACACAAAAAAGAAAGGCCCTACAATGCCTGCGGCTGTGGATTACACGTATGATGGATGACACAAAAGAGAAATAACACTCTGAGATTCCCCCTCCTGTTTCCGCTCCCCTGCCCCGAGATCTTGCCCTCTAACCCCCCCTTCTCTGCCTGATCCCAGAGAAGGGTAAATGAGACCTCAGGATTATCTCAACATGGGAAATATGTATTAATACACGGTCTGAGGCGCAGGTTTGCTAAGCTGCATCTGCTCTTACAGGTCCAGTGCATGTTGCGTTGTACGCGGTGGAGTTTTGCACCAGGCACTCGGGGTGGCACGGGAGGCACTTGGAGTCCCTTTCAAACTCCCGCGGTTCCCTGGAAAACAACAAAAAAAGAGAAATAATTAAAACCCAGGCTGATTAACGAGTGATAAATTTTGATTGTCTCTCATTTTCCTGACTTTTCCAGTTTAAAAAGATTCGGATGATGGTACTGAGACAGGAGGAGGTACAGGGGGACCCTCCTGGTTACACCGGTAGCACTTGCTCAGCGCAACCAGGGAGAGGTAAGAGTAGCGGAAATTTGATTGACGGTGAAACACATGGCACTCCAGATTGCACACTACAAATTAGTTTACTTTCCCTTTTAAGCTAACGACACAGAATATTCGCAACGATTTCCAAAGGCTTTTAAATGGTAGTGATGCAAAGAGATCAGCAAAAACAGTTCAAGTGACTCCGAGGCTCCAAATAATAATTAGAAAAGTTAAACAGCAATGCACTGATAATTAAATTCATGCCCTCCCTACAACACACAATGAATCATTAAAATATGAAAGTTGGGAACAGATGGTTTCAATAGCAATAAAGCTGTTCCACTTCAAGTAATGGTGTTATTAATTAAACTAAATCTACCCATCATTTGACACAAAAAATGCCCAGATCTGCCCTTCAGGTCGTAATAGCTGCTGGAGGGAATTCAGTTACAAAAAAGACAGCTGCTGAACTGCAAGTTGCTAGAGAAATACAAACATCAGGGGCATCAGCACCCTGTCAAGTACTTGCTTAACACTCATGATTTTTAAAAGTCAAACTTTGAAAGATTTATTAAAAAATCCCCATCAGTTTCAGGGCTTACCATGCATTTCCCACCTACATCACCTGTTAAACTGACTGAAAAACCCAGCTGCGGTCCTGACACACAGGCAGTGATATGTTTTCCTCAGCCCGAGCGAAGCTGAAGCAATAATTTTGCTTGAAATTGCTGCTCCTAGTACTTTTCGGATGAAAGCTCATGCTCCCTTGACTGCAACTTTGCAAATTGCAAGGGCAAGCCACTCATTTGAGCCCATATAAGAGTCTCTTTGCAGGGAGGAAGCCTACGAAGGAGGGAAGCCCTAGCTCCGGGGGTGACTGAGCTCCCAGCGACTGCAACTGGCGCCAGCTCTCGCCTGATGTGCTTGACATGACAGGAATAGCTTGGATTTTCACTGTGGCTTCAAGCTCCTTTATTTCTTATGGGAAGGACGCGTAAGGCTTAGCCTCCTTGGGCCTCTAGACAGTCTCCTCATCTGCTTGAGGGAGACAACATCTCTGCAAAGTTAGAAAAATCCCATGCAACCAGAGACCCTATTTTTTGCTTTCTTCTTAGCTACAACACGTTCTAAAAACCCAAACTCACACATCATTGCCAAAACCTCAAGCACCCCCCAGGTGCACCTTACCCTTGCAGGATGTTGCACTGTTTCACACACTCCTTCTGGCGATCGAAAAACCTGCAGGAGAAGCAGTGGAAGGGTCCTGGGCCCCAGCAGCCCACATCTGAGCACAGGGGGTCACAAACGTGCCTGGCAGCAGCTGGGAGAGAAAGGAAGACATGAAGAGCCATGAACGTCAAGGCAGGAGAGAGCGCAAACACAGCACTGCCTACACTCCAGCCTGACCAGCAAGTTTTTCCAACCTGTTTCAAATCAGGCATGAATGGTCCTGGCAGTGTAGAAGAGGAATAATCATGCTTCTCTTAATTCCTAAAGCCTGAAATGAAGAGTGACTTCTGGCCTTTCGAAATAAGAATGATCTCCTCTGTGACAGCTTCAACAGCTGTATAGTAAAAAGCTAAACCAATATCAGGCTGAGAGACTTGGAGTTGTTCAGCCTGGAGAAAAGAAGGTTCTGGGAAGACCTTATTGCAGCCTTCCAGTACTTAAAGGGGGGTTATAATGACTTTTTACCAAGGCCTGTAGTGACAGGACAAGGGGCAATGGTTTTAAACTGAAAGAGGGTAGACTTAGATTGGATATAAAGAAGAAGCAGTTATGATGGGTGGTGAGATACTGGACCAGGCTGCCCCGAGAAGTTGTGGGTGCCCCATCCTTGGAAGTCAATGTCAGGCTGGATGGGGCTTTGAGCAAACTGATCTAGTTGAAGATGTCCCTTCCCCATGGCAGGGGGGTTAGACTAGATGAACTTTGAAGGGCCCTTCCAACCCAAACCATTCTGTGGTTCTATAATCAATTTCAAAACACAATAAATTCATATTCTGCAAAAATAAATCATTACATTTTGGCCCAGGAATCACTGCAGTCAAGAACAGCATCATTGAACAACAGCTTTGGCCTTGTCAAAAAAGTCCAGTGTTTGAAGTTAGCTTCTGTGTCCTTCAACCTATGTAGCCTTCACTATGCCCATAGAGGTGAAGCAGCTTCCTCCCACCTGCTAGACACCATGAAGTCAACATCCTCCGTGGGGAAAAATCCCACTTTTCCCTCACCACCTTCATTAAAGCAGTACCAGTGATGAATTGTGCAGCCAGGGGAACAGAGAGAAAAGAGCCTTGCTCTAATTACTCTTGCATTTCAGCATGAGCTTTCATGGGAAGCAGGAAGGCAGCACTGACTTACCACACTCATTTTTATCTCTGTTCTGTATGATCTTTGTTTTCTGGCTCTGAGTTGCAAACAGGCTGTGCCAGTCCATGGTGTCAGCGTAGCAGAGGTTCTTGTTCTTCATAATGGCAACATCTCCATCACTTATTTCCTTGAGGGAGCGCAGCCCTAAGGACTGTATTTTCAAGTTAACAACGGCAAGGGAATACTGGCCACTAAAATGGAGATGGACAGAAAGGAACCACATGGAAGAAAGCGAATTAGTAAGCAGGGTTTTACTCAGCGCGTTTTTTCTTTTGGTTTTCAAATGTGTGTTGCTGTGAACTGAATTTTGTTCAAGCAAGATGCTGCTTAGCCCTCTAAACTTCACGTCTGGTACATGACACAACTATTGTAAAACAACTGCAATACTCGTATCTGGATTTGCATGGGCACTTCAAGCTAAAAGTGGCAGGACATGTGCGCTCTGTAAATGAGTAAATGATGTGCAACAGTGGTTGCAGGTAGAGCAGCTATTATTTTGTGCTGGTCCACCAAACCATCCTTCCTCTCGGGTTAAGCCCTGGAGGGTGCTGCAGTGCCGGTATCCGCACTGCCCTGGCAGCCACGGTCTCCATCCCCGGCTACCCAGCTAGCTCAAATCCCAAAGTGCTTCTGATCACACCATAACTTGCCTCAGACTTCAAAGAGTGCTATCTGTCCTGCTTGTGCTTCCAGGATGGTGGGGGAGACCCTGGTCCTGAGAGCAGGCTCAGGGCAGCCTCCACACGCAGCACAGAGCTGAGGGTCTCATCCCCCCACGGCAAATTATCTACTGCTACAAATATGGTGCTCTGCTCCTTGCAGGGCTTTTCCCATTTTGTGCTAGTTTTGGGGCAGCTGAGTCTCACACTGCTTGGTGTGCTCAGACAAATGCGGCTCTAAACAGTTTCTTTTACAGTCGCTCTAGCACATGATTTACTTACTGTTGCTTGGTTCTGCCTCGTATAATCTCCAGATTTTCAAAAGCGTAGAGATCAGTAGCATTATCAGGCCAAGCCTGAATCAACAAAAATCCTGAAATGAAGAAAAGAAGGTTAAAAAATAATAATAATAAACCCGTGGTCAGTATTGGCAGCAGAACCTCTTCCTTGAGCTCCTCCTGTGCCGGGAGAAGGTGCCTGTGCTTTCCCTATGCTTATCTGAGAATCTCGAAGTGAAACATGACATTTTAGGGAGCAGGGAGCTATTTTTAAACCCCGTTTTATAAGCAGTTTACTTCTCAGCCCACCACGAGGGCTCAGGAGCTCAAGAGATGAATGTGTCGGTGAGGTGCACGTCCCGCTACTCCGAGCCGCCAGCAATGACGGCTCTTGCCAGCAGAAACCCCAGCTGAGAGGCTGCGGGAGACAGCCACCGCTCTGTCCCATTCGTGAGCTGCCCTCAGGGAAAAGGAAAACTGAAGAGAAAGCAGAAATGGAGCAGAACAGAGAGGCGCTCAGAGTCAATTTGCTAAGGCAAGCAGATTTCCTTGCTCAGCCGAGGCACTCGGGAGGAGGGGGAGAATTTGGGAAATTGCAGGCTGCCGTATGAAGCTCTGAGGTTAGTCATTGCTGCCCTGGAGGGAACCAGACAGGTAAAAGACAGAAAGAAAAGGGGAACTGGAGTTATGTCTGTGGACCCAGATCTCATGTTACGCTCATTTTATAATGGGCTGAACAAAATTACTTTTAATTGATACTTGGTGCAAGACTTGGCTCCACTGGCCACTTTGTGCTCGTGGAGACACATTCACCCCAAGGAAGAGCTCTTCAGGCTGGAGAGGGTATCTCTGTGAGGATGACGCAAGCCACTGAGCACGCTTCCCTAAGGAGCTGCTGAAAGGCTTTCCACAAATAGAAACACACTTGGCTTTTTTTAGCCAGAGTGGCACGCCTCTGCATCACCACATACTTCTTGGGTGGCTGAGGATCTCCTCTGCTTTTAGTCTTTGCTAGGGCTGACAGTTCAGCAGAAGGGATGGTCTGGCCAAATGACACACCTTGGGTGGGAGGCCAGTATGGGTTACGTGGGCGTAACGCTGGCCAAGTGCTGCTGACCACCTTTGTGAAGAGTGACCCCTGGTAGCTCAGAGACAGAAACCGCTTGTTGCACTTCCTTCATGCACTTAAAAAATTTCCCTCCTCTCCCTTTGTGTTTTTGGCAGTACTGATCAGAGACCATCTCAGCTTAAAACCCATTGCTGACCTGATATTTCTTTGACTGTTTTGAAGACATCCAACTTCTTGGGGTCCAAGGGCAGAGTCTTCGTGAAGGCATCGCTGAAAAACACAGAATGAGGAATTGGGAAAAGAATGTCTCACCCTGAATTTCTCCTTAGCCCTTCTCCTCCAGTGCTTCTCTCTCCACCAGTGGGCAACTCACCCTAGAAATGCAACTGGGAGAATGCTGACGTCTCCGTTGATCTTCGTACAGTTTTTGAAGGAGTCGATGTTTGTGGCATTTATGGAGAGGATCCCTTTAAGTTCACCTATTCCGATGCCATTGCACACTGTTAAAAGAGAAATACAAAAGTCAGGGGGGAGAAGAGTAAAGCCCAATCACATGGAAAGGAATAAACATGAAGATGCCATTAGTCCAGAAAGCACTCCCATATGGTCAAACCTATCACTGTAAGATGAGTTTCATAGATCTTTTGCCTACTTTTGCTTTTCAGAAAGCACCACAGGACAAACGCTTCCTGTTTGCCCAGCTGTGTAGCTCTGGTTCGAGCGTCTCTGCACATAGGCTCTGGCACATGCCCTTCTCTCTCTTTTGTCCCATTTTCATTTTCTTCCCCTTGATGAGATACTGGGAAGGACAAATGAAGGAGAAGGCTGATGTGCAAGATACACATGCACACGACACACAGTTTATCTACTGTACTTGTGATATATCCCAGTTGGAGAGCACGCTCCACAGCCATGTTTCCTGATCAAACCACTTGCTAGTTCTCCAAACTATCACTGGATATTTATCATTGAATTTGCACTTAATTAAGTTCAGAACTCCGTGTACTTTTTCTAATAAGTTATCTATCATGTCAAAGCCTTACTGGTTTATTCCATGCTTTTTGTACCTTTGCTGCATAGCCCATCACACTTTTTACACTTCCGAACACCGTTTTCTTCCACTTCATAAGTATCAGTATTGCATGAGCGAACACAGGAGCCATGGTCTGTCACCACGTAGTTGTCTGGAAAAACAAGGATACAAAGGTCACTGAGATACAAGAGGGATGTGATGGGGGCTGCACAGACATTTCAATACTAGGAAGAAAAAGGTTTTTGAACTTTTGGCATACTTAGCAAAGTACAGGCATTGATTCTTACAAACATCCTTTGAAGGCAGACAGACATACAATGCTATCACCATTGTACAGAGAGAGGAATGGTCACAGAAGGATAAAACAACATTGCCAAGGTCAGACTGTGCAGCAGTGCCATAATCGGGATCAATACACGTCCTTCACCTTCACTCACTCTTCCAGGCTAAGGGCCAGGCAGGGCAATGGTCAATCTCATAAAGGGATATCAGTTCTGTAAGCTAAACCCTCTCTTACATATAAGTCTCAATGGGTTAAAAAAACATGGACATGGAATACCATGATAGGAAAAACAAGCATCTGTAGAGGAAGCAATGATCACAGGCCTTGAGAGGGAGTGTTTACAAATTACTTGCTATCAGTCCTAGTTAAGAACCAGTTAAGAGTTGATAATGCTTTAGTAATTCACAGGATTGATCCCATATGACTTGTTTGGCCATTGTTTTGATGATTATCAGATGCTTTTTTACCCCCATCAAGAGAAAAATGTTCAGAAGTCAAAATTTAATGGTTAAAAATCAGGGAAGGTGATGGATGCCGCCAGTTTGAAGCAGCTGTCGTCTTTACCAGCTATTCTCTCATTTTTGTCACCTGTTCCCGGTTCCCACAGAAGCTGAGGAGAACAAGAAAGTGCTCTTGCACTTGGCCATAACGCAGAGGGATGACACAGGTCCCTACCCACCTCCCTCCAACCTCCCACCTCCTCTGTGGCTGCAACTTGAAATGAACTTACGTGGACATTCCCTCACGCAAGTGGCTCCAAAGCTGTATTTTCCATCGGGGTTGACATCCATCTGATAGGTGGTGGGGTTATAGAGGACCAATGGGGGACATGTGTCCTTGCATGTAGCATCATCCCGAAACTTGCGGCATGCCTGTCGTTGGACAACAGCACCCATTAAACTACCAAGTTCTTACAAAGCGACAATGGCTTTACGTTAGCTCTTTAATAACACTCTGATGGGCTCATCTGTTCCCTGCTTAGCTCTAATGGAAAACTCAAGCACCTACAGGGATGGTCCCTCATGTCTTGAAGGTGAAAGGTTGCTTCAGGTTGGGCAATCGAGTTTAATATTTGGAAAAAAAAAAGAGAGAACATGAGGTTTTCTTGTTCTGAACAAGAAACCTTGGCACTTTGGTGGAGAGCTGCTGGGATTCACGTGGGAACAGGAGCAAATCTGCATGCCTTAGACAGAAGAATTTTCACTACAAGCAGTAACCAGATCAAGACAAATGGTACTTTTCTTGGCCTCTTTTTAG